TCAGGGGTGGGCAACCTTTCCCCTTTAAGGGCCGAGGGACTTCAGCTCAAATGGAGGATATTCAAGAAAAAGGGAGGAAGTGACCCAATAAAAGCTAGAAACACAAATAGGAATGTAAATTCATTCTCAAAATGGGGATCGTTGTGAAATTTCTACTCGACAGAAGGTTGAAATGGAGAACAGGTCCTGGGAAAGGAGGGTGTCTGCTCATCCTTGGGCACTAGAGTATTAACATGCTGTTTCAATCAAAGGACCACTCATAGAAATGTACATTTATGCTTCTTGGTGATGCTCAAAATGGAGGGCATCTTGGAATCCCTCCTGGACAGAAGGCTGAAATGGAGGACACGTCTTATACCTCTGGTTACCCTGCCCTCCCTCCCCCCCCACACACACAAATGGCATGCTGTCAGTCAGGGTGACCAGATGCCCTCACCACAAAAGAGAACAAGGCACCACAAAATGTCAAGACATTCAAGAAAAATGGAAGGAAGTAAAAACTCCAAGCACTCATAGAAATATAAATTCAGGCTTCTTAATGATGCCCAAAATAGAGGACATGTTGGAATTCCTCCTTGACAGAAGGATGGAATGGAGGACATGTCCTAGAAAAGGAAGATGCCTGATCACCCTGCTCAGAGAGAAAGAGAAAGAGAGTAAACACTAAATTCCAGAGAGTTGTACTGCTAATTTCCACACAAGGGACTGAAGGGAACTCAGGAGGCAAGTCGTTGCTGTGTGTGTGTGTGCCTTCAAGTCATTTCTGAATTAGGGTGACCCCAAGGTGAACCTATCATGGGGTTTTCCTGGCAAGATTTGTTCAGAGGAGGTTAATCATTGCCTTCCCACGAGGCTGAGAGCATGTGACTTGCCCAAGGCCACTCTGTGGATTTCATGGGCAAGCCGGGAATCGAACCCTAGTCTCCAGAGTGGTAGTCCAACACTCAAACCACTACACCACACTACTGGCTCTGTGCACCCTTTTGGCCCACATCAGGTGCCCTGTATACTAGGCCAGACGCTCCTCACCCTCTCCCTGTACTGAAGTGACAAGAGGGTGGGAGAAGGGGAATTAATATAATTTCTAATCCAGGTTAAATGCAACACTGGGTACGTATAACATAATATCCATACCAGTAACTTTCTTCTCTTTGGCAGGGAGTTGGACAGGATGGCCTTTGTGGTCTCTTCCAACTCTGCCCTTCTAAGAGGACATTGATGTTTGGACCCGGCACTCGCAGTGTGCTATTCCCTGTCCCTAAGGCTCTTCTTGTGTGCAACAGAAAGGGATTGCAGCCATGTTAAGAGTTGCAGAGAGGTTATCCATCCTTCTCCCTAATAGTGCCCTGGTGGGAAAGGGGATGAGGTGTGGGTTACTTTGGACAAAAGCAACACGCTAACCAGGCTTATTTTTGTACTGTTGTGTGCCTTCAAGTCCTTTTCAATTTATGGCAAAGTGGCATGCAAATTTATGGTGCTATATAAACCAACAACAACAACAACTCCACAATGGGGTTTTCTTGGCAAGATTTGTTCAGAGGAGGTTTGCAATTGCCTTCCTTTGAGGATGAGAGAATGTGACTTCCCCTATTCTCCAGAGTCATAATTCAACGCTCAAACCATTATACCACTCTGGCTCCTTTTTTGTCTTAATCTGGTCCAAAAACAAGACATAAAAAAGATAGACAACCTATTGCTGGACTCCTGAGCCTTCAAGAAAGCTTTCCTTCCCCCAACCTGGCTATTAGCCACATTCTACAGTCTAGTCTACCATAATGTTTAAAAAATGCAAATATCTCGCTGGAGCTACAACAGGAACACTCAAGCCTTGAAATTCCTCAGCGGTATGCAGTTGATGAGGTCTCTAAAGACACAAAATACCTCAAGATTAGGCTGTGGGCTTTGCACCCTTACATGAGAGTAGCCTCCAGCTGAATGCAGTGGGATTTCTCAGTGACATGGTCACACAACAGACTGCCCTTGGCCTTGCACCTTGACTGCTGATATCTGCAGAGATCTCTGTCTTGGGAGCAAACCTATCCACATATTCAGGCACTCTGCGCTAATATAAATCAGAGGGTTATATTCAGGTGGATCTACCAGCATATCTGGGAAAATGCTATCAAAAGGCATTGTGAATTTGATCCAATATGGCTGCAAGTGTGTGTGTGTGTGATGTCTACAAACACACATGACGAGGGCATTTGTAGGGTAATACCACTACAGGATGACCAGATGTCCTCACCACAAAGGAGGACAAATGGAGGCCATTAAAGAAGAAGGGAGAGCATAACCAAATAAAAGCTAAAAACATGAATAGAGATGTAAATTCATGTTTCAGGGGTCGGCAGGGTGACCAGATGTCATAACTGCGAAGGAGGATAAGGCACCGCAACATGTAGGGCATTTGAGAAAAATGGAGGACATTACCAAATAAAAGCTAAGAATGCTCATGGAAATATAACTTCATGCTTCCTAGTCATGCTCAAAATGGAGACGTTTTGAAATTCCTCCTTGACGGAAGGTTGAAATGGAGGACAGGTCCTGTGCCACTAGAGGATTAGCATACTGCTTCAGTCAAAAGATACATTTGAGTTTAAAACTCTTTTAAAAGGAAAAAGAACATGCCAGAAGAGAGGCATGTTCCAACCAGAACATGCATCCCATTATTTCAGCAGAGAAAAGTATGCATTTTACAATACAATCCTGTGCTCCTCTCCATAGAAGAAAATCCCACTGAATGCAGTATGGCTTATTCTCAGGGAAGCATCTATAGGATTCTGGCCTTAATCTTCCCTGCAGAAATCAATGGACTCCCAACACGTTTAATTTTGTATCATGCTCAAAATGAGTTAATACTTGGTTGTAAAAAAAAAACAAAAAACAATTTACCCGTATTTTCCGGCGTATAAGACAGACCCCCCCATTTTTCCAGTCAAAATATAGAGTTTTAGTACCTCTATCCTCCTTATCCTTATATCCGGCGTATAAGACGACCCCCCCACTTTAGCCACAGATTTTGCAGGTAAAAAAGTAGTCTTATACGCAGGAAAATAAGGTATATCAAAATATTAGTTCAAATGAGACCATTGCTAGCTTTAAGCACAATAGTTATGGCATTTGCTTACCAAGTGGTAAGCATGAATGGTAACTGCATGAATTTGATATTTGAAGCAGTAGGGGAATAATAAAATAATTTTCTATCAAAGGTCCTGGTTTATTCAAAGTTACGGTAAGCTTATTCACAGTTATTCACATTGATTTCAGTGAGAGAAATGTAAACATGTACTTGGCTTTCACCTTTGAGAGAGAAAAAGCATGAACCTGAAACTTTGCTTGGCTTGTGCCCACAATATTTAATAAAATGTTATGTACTAAATATGATTTAACAGTGCCGTCTATCATCCTGCTACTACCCTTCATATGTCAAAGTATGCATATCACCTGTGAATATCTGTGTTTCTCATTTAAACATACAATAACAAATTGCAGATGAGCCAGCATGGTACAGTGGTTTGAGCATCAGACTACAACTCTGAAGATTAGGGTTCAATTCCCAGCTTGGCCATGAAATCCACTGGGTGACCTTGGGCAAGTCACATTCTCTCAGCCTCAGGAAGGCAATGGCAAACCTCATCTGAACAAACCTTGCCTAGAAAACCCCATGATAGGTTTACCTTAGGGTCACCATAAATCAGAAACAACTTGAAGGCACACAGCACACACACGCACACAACAAATTGCTGGGATAAAGCCAATCTTTGAACACAGTCAAGTATAAATTACAAACCATTAAGTGATAAATCTGACATATATCTAACATATGAAAAGATATTCCCAACCAACATTTAAGGAATAAGAATTACAGGAAAATTCTAGATCTTTGGGGGGACTCAATTTTTTTAATGTATAAATTATCACAGATATGTAAGAAATAAAATCTGTCTTAAACTTGCAGTCTTGTGTATTTATTTATGCAGACTGCAAAATGACACACACTTACTAGAGAGTAAGGTCCAAAACACAGTGCAGAAACAATCCAGTTTAAGACCACTTTAACTGCCCTGGGTCAATGCTCGGGAATTCTGGGAAGTGTCATTTTGTGTGACATTTAGCCTTCTCTGTCAGAGAGCTCTGGTGCCACAATAAACTTCCCAGGATTACCTAGCCCTGAGTCAGGACAGTTAAAGTGGTCCCAAACTGGATTATTTCTGCAGTGTGTTTTGGACCAATGTCTCACTAAACTCAATGCTGTTTATTTCTTGACTAGACACATTTAGGATCATCCTGCATGCCACATTTATTGTCTTGCATTCCTACCCCACAGTTATCTTTTGTTACTCAGAGCTGGATTGAATGGGATTTACTACCTTGTAATGTGCAGACAAGTAAAAACTTCAGTCATTTCCCCTTTACATTTATATGAGCGAATACAGCATTTATTTTCAGTAGATAGGAGCCTATAACCATTTAGAGTCCAATGGTTCCCAAACTTTGGTCTTCCAGTTGTTTTGGACTTTGCCTCCCAGAATCCCTGACTCTTGGCCAATTTGGCTGAGGTTTCTGGGAGCTGAAGTGCAAAACACCTGGAGGACCAAAGTTTGGGAACCATTAGATCATTAGTCCATCAACAGCCATTGGCAATGGCTTTCAGATAGGAGTCTTTACTTAGCCTGTGCTGGGGACTGGATCTTAGCATGCCAAGCATATATCCTTTGCTTAAGTACATTGAATAGGAATGAGAATTTAATTTTATATTGTGCTTGGGGCAACGAAACTGTCCACAAAACGGCAAAGGAAGGAGGGAGAAAGGAGAAAAGAAAGGAGCATGTCAGCGATAGAGCAAGTTCAGGTTAAACATTGGTATTTAGTTCAAGGGCCAATGCAGCACTTGGTGCCCTCCATCTTCCACCTTTCTCCCATGAACATGGAAACTGAGTTTCTTCCAAGATGACAGATGCCCATTTATGTGGCCTCTCGTTCCTGTGTGATCTCTCCCTCCCCGAAGTGTGGGAGAAAAGGCTTACGGACAGAAATCCCACACGAGGGAGCCTTGTTCTTGAGTCCCAGTTCACACACCTGAGATACAAGGTCGGGAGGGACCCCTGCCTGTCTTCATCAAATGAGGGATGCTACCCCCAGCGCATGAACTAGATGAAAAGTCAAGCAAGTGTGTCAGAGTAAAACTCAATATTCACCTGGGATCTGGTTATGGGGGTGGATTTTGGATACGCACGCCTGTCTTAGAATTTATCAGCCAAAACTTTGTCTGCGGTCTCATTAAGCTGCTATTTAAAGAATGAAACTTAGGCTCAGCAGGCAAGAGGTTGCAACAATCATTTGGGGACAAATGAAAATATTTGAGCTGAGATGCTAGGTTGAATGGAAGCAACAGCAAACAACTGTAGCTCATGACTCTTCTGGACCTGGACTTTCCCAGGATACACCAAAATGGAAAGGCTTTCCTTCTAATCGTCCAGAAACAGCAAAGCTTGTCGCATACCTAAATAAGTCGCCTTATCTGATCCGGTTTAAAATTTAAATTGGGCAGCATTCTGATATTATCAGAAGGATTTGGCTGCTGGATCCGCCACCCGGGTCCATCCCAGGTCCATTCCCGCTCACAGGGGTGCTCCAGAGGCCATTTTCTCAAGCTGGAAAACTCCCGGCTTCAAAAAGAGCCACGCTGTGAGCAGGGATGGACCCAGGATGGACCTGGGCGGCGGATTCGGTGGCTAAATCCTTCGGATAATATCAGGATGCCGCCCGATTTAAATTTTAAACTGGATCAGGTAAGGCAATTTATTTAAGTATGCGATAAGCTCCAGCAAAGGGTACAGAATTGAGATCTTCCCTGAGCAGTCTGTTCCCACCTCCACATGGTTCCCATATATATGGTTACTGCCCTGAATGCCGGTAATAATATGCTTTAGGGGAGCACGGAAAATTGCAAAAATAATAATAAAAAAAGGAAGAACCCCTAATATTAACTGATAATAGGTTTCCCATTAGTGAACTCTCAAGTCATAAGTAGAATGACCCTGATGGGAAAGCATAGTGTTTTACTCAGTCCACCAGTACATCTCTTACAAGAATATAATAGTGGTGAAAGGAAGATGTAAATTTTATGTTTGAAATGCTTCTGGCAGCACTGACTACAGTGATCATTATCTTCAGCAAGGCTGCACAGAAACAAACACAGCAGGCATTCATATTTGTCACCAAGATTGTTTTGTGATGAATTAAATGCCGTATAGGCACTGAAGGGGAAGAGAACAGGGACCTTACTCAGCCAGTAATAGAGGTTTATGGTGTGTTCTGTATGGACGTTGTTAGCATAAGGCCCTATACGGCTTAGGTCCAAGCTATCTGACAGACCGTCTCTCCAGATCTGAATCAGGAGATTCAGATCAGCCCCTGAGGTCCACAGGAGAGGCCCTCTTCTCATTCCCACCATCTTCCCAGATGCCTTTGGTGGGATACACAAGGAAGGGCCTTCTCAGTGGTGGCCCCTAGACTTAGGGCCTTTGCAGACTGCCAGAAATAGTGCAAATTGAGTCCACTTTTAGGGTTAGGGTTAGGGTTAGGGAATCATGGGAACTGTATTTTATTGTGGCACCAGAGCTCTCTGACAGAGAAGACTCAATGTCTCAGGGGGAAAAAAATCAATTCCCATGATTCCCTAGCACTAACCCTAACCCTAAAAGTGGACTCAATTTGCACTATTTCTGGCAGTCTGAGCCAGGGCAGTGCCTCAATTTAATGTGCACTATTTCTGGCAGTCTGCAAAGGCCCTAAAGGCCCTAAGTTACAGACAGGATGGTGTAATGGTTTGAGCGTTGGACTAGGATATTGGGAGACCAGGGTTCAAATCCCTGCTCAGCCATGAAACCCACTGGGTGACCCTAGGCAAGTCATATTCTCTCAGCCTCTGAGGAAGGCAAGAGCAAACCTCCTCTGAACCAATTCTGCCAAGAAAACCCAATAATAGGATCACCATATATCAGAAAGGAAGACACAGAACAATAACTCTTTCTAGAGTGCCTCTGTCCCACTGTACTGTATCTTTTGGTAAAAATTGTTATTTGTTATCAAGCTGACTTTGACTTATGGCAACCATCTGACTGAGAGACCTCCACAAGCCCTGGTCATCCACTGCCCTGCTCAGGTCATGCAAATGCATCCTCCATTTAGCAATCCTGCCCATAAGTAATTGGAACTGCCCCAAACTTGTCTCCCCTTGTTACAACGTCGTAGACTGTAATTCACAAACTGTTTAAGCTGGAGGGGTTCCCCTAAGTGCCAACAAGCTTCCTTCTGCAGAAGCTATCTGAGGGGGGTTGCAGACTGCCAGAAATAGTGCAAATTGAGTCCACTTTTAGGGTTAGGGTTGGTGCTAGGGAACCATGGGAATTGTTTGTTTTTTTCTGAGACATTGAGCCTTCTCTGTCAGAGAGCTCTGGTGCCACAATAAAAAACAGTTCCCATGATTCCCTAACCCTAATCCTAACCCTTAAAGTGGACTCAATTTGCACTATTTCTGGCAGTCTGCAACCCCCCTGAAACACATTATGTGAGGATGCAAAGGGATGGATTTTCTCTAGCACTTAAGAAGGACAAGTTGGTAGCATGAGCTTTCATACACTTGAGCCTCCTTCTTTGAATGCAAGTGGACCAATTCAA